CATGAGAGAAATTAGCAGGATAGGGGGCTCGGAGCAGAAACCACGTGGCTCGGATCATAATCATTTGTAAGGAAGTTTCAGGCGGGAGGCGTTGGTCTTGTAGCCGGGGGGGCCAGCGACAACGTTTGAGCAGGAATATTCCCCTGGTCTATATCAACGTGCGAGCCCCGAGGGGGGAACTTCAATTGAAACACAATGTGCAGCGGTGAGGGGGATCAACAATGCTTATTCCTCAAGAATTTCAAGACTGTTCGGTCCGATCTGCTCGCGTGCCATTCAACACGTATATCCCAAACCCTCGGTACCCGCCCTCTTCGTCTTCGATCGTGCCTCCTTGTGGGTCTATCTTCCTTACCTGTCACGCGCATGTAGCGCAGCCTTTAAAACAGGGGAAGAGAGGGCGGATGGAAAGGGGGAGGTAAGATGATGGAACACGATAGAGATTAGCAGGGGGCGGGTTCGGAACGGAGCAGAAAACGTGTGGCAGCACCAGACGGGCACATTGGGCGGGTAGACCCAATCGGGCAGTTCGTGAAGGCGGGCCCAGGCGGCCAGGTCGAGCAGGCGGGTCGCTGAAGCGTGGCCCCTGCATGCGTCGAAAGAAGTCCCCTGCGATAGCGCGATTCCCAAGTAAATCGTGAGAAAAGCCAGGGCTAGAGCGTGATTCCTGGGTGTCGAGGGCGTGATTGCGAGGAAGCCCCTCGCGAGAACACGGCTTTTCCATGTTACAGAACTTGTGAGGAAGTCCCGCGCGAGAGCGCGATTGTGTAATACCTCGAGAGGGCGTATCCGGTGGGAGCCGTTGTTGTTGCAGCAGGGGGCAACCACCGAGTTTGAGCACACGGGTTTGTTTGAAAAGCAACGAGGTCTGGGTCCCGAGGAGGGCACTTCAGTTGAAAAACGTAATGCGCACTGGTGGGATGTGGTCAACGATAGTGATTCTTCAAGACTGCGAGCCCAAAAACAACAGCAACAACACCACAACTCATGTTTTAGATTGTTCGCTTCTATCCGCCCGTGTGCCATTCGACACGTATACCCCGAACTCTGGTTACCCGCCTTCTCCGTCTTTGGTCGTACCCCCTTGGGGGCAAATTTTCCTCACCTGCCACGCGCAGTGCATGTAGACCCTAAAACAGGGAAACGGAAGACGGACTAAAGGGGGAGGGAGACGGATGGAACACGAGAGAGATTTGCAGGAGGGGGTCTAGGATCAGAAAGCACGTGGCAGAACCAGGCGGGCAGATCGGACGGGCAGACCCCAACGGGCGGGTCGTGAAGGCGGGCTCAGGCGGCCAGATCGAGCAGGCGGGCTGCTGAAGCGTGAATCTTGCGTGAGCCGCAAGGAACTCACAAGCGTCAGCGCGATCCCCAAGTAAATCGCAGTGCAAGAGAAGCCACAGCGAGAATGTGATTCCTAAGTGTCGAGGGCGCGGCGTCTGTTAAATTGCGAGTCGTTCCCGCTCGAGAGCGTGATTCCTGCATTAATGGTGCGGAAGTCCCGCGCGAGAGCGCGATGGTCGAGGAAGCATCAGGGGGAACCGCTGTTGTTGTAGTTAGGGTAACAACCCAGTTTGGTGACACTACATTTCCCCTCGTATAAGCCAGGTGCGAGCCCTGCGAGGGGCACACTAATTGAATAATGATATGGTCGCTGGATGTGGGGATCAACGATACGTAATTTTTATGCATGGGACGCCATGAACAATCAGTTCGAGCTGTTCGCTCCTAGCTGTTTGCGTGCCACACTCAGCACGCATATCCCAAATCCTCGGTGCCCGCCATTCTCGTCTTCGATCGTACCCCCTGGGGGTACATCTTCCTTACTTGCCACGCTCACGTAGCGCAGCCATTATAAAACACATGGAAAAAAGGACGGATGGAGGGGGGAGGGGGCGGGATGGAACGCGAGAGAAATTAGGAGGGGTCTAGGAACAGAGAGCACGTGGCAGAACCGGGCGGGCCCATCGGACGGGCAGACCCTGGCGGGCGGGCCGGGAAGGCTGGCCCGGGCGTCCACGCCGAACAGGCGGGTTGCTCAAACGTGGGTCCTGAATAAATCGAGAGGACGTCTCTTGCGATAGCGTGGTTCCCAAGTAACTCGTGACAAAAAACAGCGGGAGCGTGATAATTGAGTGTCGAGGGCGTGGCGTTTCAATCAATTTTGGGGAAGTTCCGAGCGAGAACGCGATTGAGGAATACCTTGTGCGGAAGTATCAAGCTGGAGCCGTTGTTGCTGTTATTGTTGTAGTTCGGGGCCCAGCAACGCAGTTGGCTTATTCCCAACCCTCCTGTGGCGGGTTTTCGTTTTGAATAGAGCAGTGTGGTCTCAACCCTCCTGCTCTCGCCTCCTCGCTCCTGCCTTCTGTGCTCTCCTGCCGTCTGGTTCCTGACTTCTGCCTCGCCGTCTTGTCTGTTGGGTGGCCTTGCCTAGGGGTTGCGATCACTGGGGGGCTTGCGATCTGCGCAAGTGTCGCCACTTTCGTGGGCTCCTGGGAGGCCCAGCGGAGGCACCACGCGGACCATCTCGGTACCTCACCGCCCCCTTGGGGGGCTTGCGACCTGCGCAAGTGTCGCCACTTTCGTGGGCTCCTGGGAGGCCCAGCGGAGGCACGTCCCACGCGGACCACCTCCGTACCTCGCCGCCCCCTGGGGGGCTTGCGATCTGCGCAAGTGTCGCCACTTTCGTGGGCTCCTGGGAGGCCCAGCGGAGGCACGTCCCACGCGGATCACTTCGGTACCTCGCCGCCCCCTGGGGGGCTTGCGATCTGCGCAAGTGTCGCCACTTTCGTGGGCTCCTGGTAGGCCCAGCGGAGGCACGCCCCACGCGGACCACCTCGGTACCTCGCCGGGGGGGCTTGAGATCTGCGCAATTGTCGCCACTTTTGTGGGCTCCTGGGAGGCCCAGCGGAGGCACGTCCCACGCGGATCACCTCGGTACCTCGCCGCCCCCTGGGGGGCTTGCGATCTACGCAAGTGTCGCCACTTTCGTGGGCTCCTGGGAGGCCCAGCGGAGGCACGTCCCACGCGGACCACTTCGGTACATCGCCGCCCCCTGGGGGGCTTGCGATCTGCGCAATTGTCGCCACTTTCGTGGGCTCCTGGGAGGCCCAGCGGAGGCACGCCCCACGCGGACCACCTCAGTACCTCGCCGCCCCCTGGGGCGCTTGCGATCTGCGCAAGTGTCGCCACTTTCGTGGGCTCCTGGGAGGCCCGGCGGAGGTACGCCCCACGCTGACCACCTCCGTACCTCGCCGCCCCCTGGGGGGCTTGCGATCTGCGCAAGTGTCGCCACTTTCGTGGGCTCGTGGGAGGCAGATCAGAGATACGTCATACGCGGATCACCTCGGTACCTCGCCGCCCCCTGGGGGGCTTGCGATCTGCGCAATTGTCGCCACTTTCGTGGGCTCCTGGGAGGCCCAGCGGAGGCACGCCCCACGCGGACCACCTCGGTACCTCGCCGCCCCCTGGGGAGCTTGCGATCTGCGCAAGTGTCGCCACTTTCGTGGGCTCCTGGGAGGCCCAGCGGAGGCACGTCCCACGCAGACCACTTCGGTACCTCGCCGCCCCCTGGGGGGCTTGCGATCTGCGCAAGTGTCGCCACTTTCGTGGGCTCCTGGGAGGCCCAGCGGAGGCACGCCCCACGCGGACCACCTTGGTACCTCGTTGCCCCCTGGGGGGCTTGCGATCTGCGCAAGTGTCGCCACTTTCGTGGGCTCGTGGGAGGCAGATCAGAGATACGTCATACGCGGATCACCTCGGTACTTCGCCGCCCCCTGGGGGTTTTGCGATCTGCGCAAGTGTCGCCACTTTCGTGGGCTCCTGGGAGGCCCAGCGGAGGTACGTTTCTTTCAACGCCCCTGTGTTTCCATTTTGTATGTTTGCCGTTCCTCTTCTTGCTGCGCTCTTCAGAAATCACTGATGGGTGCTCTTCTTGCGCATTGCGGATCCTTCAGAATGCCAGTTAGCATTGAGTGATCCTGAGTAGAATTGCCACATGTATAGAAAGGATTGTTGTAGTTCGGGGCCAAGCAACGCAGTTTGAGCACGAAACTTTTCACTTATCAAAAACCGGGTGCGAGCCCCGAGGAGGGGCAATTCAATTGACAAAAACACACCGTATGTACCTGTTGGGATATCAACATTAGTAATGTTTCAAGAGTGAGAGTTCAACAACAACAACAACAACAACAACAGCAGCAACAACAACAATAACAACCACAACAACAATCAGTATAATATTGTTCGCCTTATCTGCTCGCATGCCCTTCCACACGTATATGCCCAACCCTCGATATCCGCCCTCTTCGTCTTCGATCGCGCCCCCTTAGGGGTGCATTTCGTTTATATGCCACGTGCATTCGTGCAGCCCCTAAGGCTGAGGAAGAGAGGGCGACTGGAAGGAAGGGCCAAGGGGCAGGTGGGTTGCTGACGCGTGCGTCCTGCATGACTTGCGAGGAAGTCTCGGACGATAGCGCGATCTCCAAATGAATCGTGAGGACATCCAGAGCGAGAGCGTGATTCCTGTCTGAATCAATTGCTAGAAAGTTCTACGCGAGAGCGGGATTCCAGTTTTTTGGCAATATATATATATATATATATATATATGTATATCGATATTTATATATATATATATATATATATATATATATATCGTCAGGGAATATCAGCGGGAGCCGCTGTTGTTACACTTCGGGGGCCAACAACACAGTTTGGTGATACCTCGCCTTCCCTAGTAAAAAGCAGGGTGCGAGCCCCGGGGAAAAACACTTTAATTGAACAATTGTTACCGGATAGAGGGGATCAACAGCAGTTATTTTTTGAAATGAGAATTCAACAATGACAACACCAGCAACAGCAACAATCATTTTAAGTCTGTTCGCTGATACCTTCTCGCGTGCCGCTCAACACGCATGCCCCGAACCCTCGGTACCCGACCTCTTCGTCTACGATCGTGCTCCCCCTGGGGGTAGTTGTCCTTACCTGCCGCGTCTAGTTGGTGCAGCCCTGAAAACAGGGGAAGAGAGGTCCGTAGCCACTTTGGCTCATGCCGTTTGTGCTTCAAGCGTTTTTGCACAGGATCCGTTGCAGAGTCTTATTTTCGTGATAACGAATTGCATGTATGCCAGCGCCCACCGTGCATCGTTTTGTTGCGACATGCCGCTCGAAACGGGCAGCGGCGGCAGTAGTGTTGTCTTCGTTGTGCAGTACAGCACGTGCCACAAACATCGGGGCGGCCAAGGGCGCACACGCGTCACAGGCGCGTGAAGACTCAGGATGCTCAGACGTGTTCATGATGCAGACCTCAGCGGGTCTGTCGCATGAGCTGTCGCATGGCTCTGCGCCAGTTCGACGCACTGCCACGCCAGCACCCACGTGTGTAGATAGCAATCTCGGGGCTACGAACAGGATGGGCGAGGATTGCTCAGTCTATCAGCACGATCCTGCAGAACCGTTTTCAGGCATCTGCTTCGACCCCTACTACGACGATGACGATTTCACCTCATCAATGTGCTGCGTGTGTCCAGCGGAGTGCCCTGCTCTCCCAGAGCTGCCGCAGCACTCCCTGCCGAACGCCAGTGAGTGTGAGGACTGGGTCGCCTTCGACCCCTCCAACGACGATGGCTTTGGGAGGGCATCTCATTCAAATCTTGGCGGATTGGGCCCACAGCACGGCAAGCCCAAGGAACTCAGATATTACTCAGTCGGGAAGCTTTCAGATGGGACTGCCATCGACATGGTCGTCACAAACACAAGCAGCTACATCCCGAGAAACACCAATTGGAATAAGATTGAAAATAAATTTGCGTTGATTAACCTTTTAATCGGTGAGTCTGTCAAGCTGAACGCAGAATTTGTCAGAAGCCACACCTTCTGCCCAGAGGTGCCAGTCCTGCCAAAAATCACGTTCTGCGACCTTGACCGCTACGAGCCTGGGCAGAAAGAAGTCCTTGTTCTCGACGGCATTAGCGCTCTCTACACGGTCGGCGACGACATCGACTTTACGTTGGAGCTGTTTGAGCACGCATCTCTCGCAAGTGGCAGCCCGGTTCCGATGACCACCTACGCCACGTCATCGGTTCAGACATCGATTGTTGGCAGGACGTCCAAGAAGTACACCCACAGCTCTGTCGGCAGGTTCGGGATGAAGGCAACCTCTGAGATGCTCGGTCACGGCTGCGACAACCCCACGGACCCAAACGCGCTGAGCAACATCACCTGCGACGGCATCACCGTGGACCAGGCGAAGCGGTGCTTCATGGTCGAGCTCTCGGGCACCAGCCAGTTCTCCATCGGCTTCGAGGTGCTGTCGGATCAGCCCCCTGGGTACGTCCACACTTGGGGGCGCAACTTCGCCATGGCTGGCACGTCGAGCTTCTTCGCCGACGTGGACAGCCAACCCTGCACGATCGCCCCGACGCCCTCCCCGACGCCTCCGACGCCCTCTCCGACGCCTGCTCCGACGCCTCCGACGCCCTCTCCGACGTCCTCGCCGACCGAGGTCCGGGTGAGCGCCTCCGGCGACCCACACCTGGTCAACGTGCACGGGCAGCGCTTCGACGTGCTGCAGCCCGGCACCCACGTGCTCCTCCACGTGCCCCTGGGGGCGCACCCTTCGCACGTGCTCCTCCGCGTCGAGGCCGAGGCCCAGCAGCTCGGCGGCTCCTGCGAGGACACGTACTTCGTGGCCGTCAACATCACTGGGCGGTGGGCGGGGCCTGAGGCCCTGGCGCACGGGACCGGCGAGGGGCGTCGGGGCCTCGTGTTCCGGGCGGGCGGCGACGCGGCGGCGCGCCCGGACGCGGCGTGGATGTCCTTCGGGACGGTGTCGCTGAAGGTGGTTCATGGCCGCACCCGCGCGGGGGTGGCGTACCTGAACCTCTACGCTCGCAATCTGCTGAAGGCGGGCTACCTCATCGGGGGGCTCCTCGGCGAAGGCGATCACACGGAGGTGGCCGCCCCGAACCCGAGCTGCAAGCGGGTCGTCAGCCTGCTCCATGTCGAGGGCCCAAAGTGATGGTGCCTGGTCGCTGCATGTAGTGGCTCTTGTTATAGCGACTGTCATCCCCCCAGACTCGTCCTCGTTATCCTCCTCCTCTTCCGGGAAGAGCGGGCGAGGAGTCCGCTCGACCTCTCTTCCTCTTCCCGTTTCTACGCCTGCCTGCCATCCGTAGCACTGCTTGCAGCAGGGCAACGCTACCGTCAACTTTTGAGGATTGTCCTCGCTTGCGAAGAGCCACGAGGCCGCTTGGGCCCGTCTGGCTGAAACATTTGGGCTTCTGCCCGCCTTCTTTTTGATGCTGGTATCTTGCAGGTACTTCTTCTCCCGTCGGAGGCAAGACCGCTCGAATTTTCTTTGTGGCTCTTGTGCACAAGCCGGGGAAGAGAAAACGGATGGAAAGGGGGAGGGCGAAGGATGGAACACGGGAGAAATTAGCAGGACTCACGTGGCAGAACCAGACGGGCTGATCGAGCAGTCAGAACCGAACGGGCGGGAAGGGAAGGCGGGCCAAGCGGCCAGGTCGAGAACGCGTGTTGCTGAAGCATGAGTCCTGCATGAATCGCGAGGAAGGTTCGAGCGATAGCGCGATCCCCAAGTGAGAGCAAATTGCCACGCGAGAACGCCAGTCCTGTATCAGTTGTGAGGAGGTCCCGCGCGAGAGCACGCTTTTTGGAACTAAATTGTGAAGAAGTATCATGGGGAAGCCGACGTTGTTGTAACTCGGGGGCCAGGGGCTCAGTTTGGTAACCCAATATTTCCTTTGTGAAGATCAAGGTGCGATCCCTGAGAGGAACAACTTATTTGAAAAGTGCAATGGTCACCGGGCAGTGGGGACCAACATTAAATATTTTTCAGAAATGAGAATTCAACCAACATTTTAAGGTTGTTCGCTCCTATCTGCCCGCGTGCCACTCAACGCGTATATCCCAAGCCCTCGGTACCCGCCCTCCTCGTCTTCGATCGTACCCCTTCGGGGGTATACCATCATTACCTGCCGCGCGCATTTAGCAAGCCCCCAAAACAGGAACATATGACGAATGGAAGGGGGAGGGGTTGGGATGGAGCACGGGAGAAATTTGCAGGAAGGGGGGCTAAGAGCAGAAATCACGTGGCAGAACCAGACGGACAGACCGGGCGGGCATACCCTAGCGGGCAGGTCGGGAAGGCGGGCCAAGCGGCCGTGTCGAGCAGGTGGGTTGTTGCAGCGTGAGTCCTGCATGAATCGCGAGCAAGTTTGGAGCGATAACGCGATCCCCAAGTAAACCGCGAGACATGCCCAAGCGAGAGCGTGATTCCGGAGTGTGGAGGGCGCGGCGTTTCAATACTTGCCGAGGACATCCCACGCGAGAGCAGGATCCTTGCATACATGGTGAGGAAGTCCCGCGCGAGAGGTCTTGGAGTAACTCGTGAGGAAGTATCAGGCGGAAGCCGTTCTTGTTGTTGCAGCTCGGAGTCCAACAACGCAGTTTGAGGACGACGATTTTCATGACTCAAAGAAAAAAGGGTCGGTGCGACCCCGAAAAGAGATCAGCAACAGCGTAAGAGGCGGCAGGTGGCGGGAGAGGATGAGGCCTCTCGGGGGCTCCTTGGCGGTCTCGGGGGGCCTTTCGGGGGGGGCTATCGGGAGCCTGCTGGCTGTTGCAGGGGTACTATTGGTGCAGAGGCCCCGACATGTGAGGTAGCGTTCCCCCTCTTGGGCCCGTCTTGGGGCCATCCAGGGGCTGTCTTGGGCAGTCCAGGGGCCCTCTAGGGAGCCTTGGACCGTCTTGGGAACATATCGAGGGCCCCTCGGGCTTGCTTGAAGCGTGGGGAAATGGAAAAGGTGAGAACGGTGAACTCCTGGGAAGCGTACACGTAAGTAGTGATCTGTTCCCATGGGGCCCTCGTGGGGGGGGGGCGTCCGATCGAAGCTTTCTTGGGCTGTAGGAGTAATGAAGCGGGGAAGGGAGCTGAGCGCATTCGGACCCAATCTCTCCCGGGATACTCCTTGGGCTTGTACTCGGCGGGGGGAGGAGGGGCACACTCCTCCCCTGACCTCCCCGGGGACCCCCCTCTCCCGTGGGGGGAAGGGATCAAGGGCCAGGGGCTTCCCGTCACGACTTGGAGCGATTTCCCTTGGGCTGGCGACGCTGAAACGCTGCACCCAGCGAGCTCTCAATGCTCTGGGATGCTGGGCTCAGCAAAGCTCTGGGATGGCGAGCTCTGCAAGGCTGTCGTGAAGCCTCTCACACATGCCGGATGGTCAGCAGATTTGGTCCGCCTCCGCGTTACCATGCGACGGTGGAGTAGGACAGCGTAGTCGTTAGTGCGCTGGGGTGACAGAGGGGAAGGGTGGTCCTTGAGTCACTGGGGCACGAGTGTCGTAAGGAGTCGCTGGGGCGCAAAACCTCGGCTCGTCCCACCTGGGCGTGCAGAGGCGGGGGAGGGCCCTTCAACTCACCCCTGGGCCTGCGAGGCGTCTGAGCGCCGAGCGCGGCCCACTCCAACGCTTCGACCGCAGTGCTCCACACATGCCGCACGCACGTTTTTTGTGTTCTGTTCTCTTGGTTTGTGCTCCAACCCTCACCGGCGCCCGGGCGCCCACCCGCCGTACCCTCGCAGGTGCCTCGGCGCGGGCTCTGTCTGCCTGCCTGTCTGCCTGCCTGCCTGTCTGCCTGTCCCTCTGCCTGCCTGCCTGCCTGCCTGCCTGCCTGCCTGCCTGCCTGCCTGCCTGCCTGCCTGTCTGGTCCGTGCTCCGCACGCGGGGCTGCCCACGCGGGGCCCCGCGCCTCCGGCCCTGCAGGGCGCCCTTCGCCCGCGAGGCCCTCCCCCGCGCGCGGTGCCCCTCCGCACGCGCCGGGCCCTTCTGCACCGAGGGCCCGGGCGCCAAAGCACACGACGCCAGAGAAGAATCGGGAGAAAAAGAAACACACAGACACAATTGATCCTCGATTCCCCAGAAAATATGGGAAAATATGGGAAGTGAGGGGGACGACAGAAACCCAGAAAATATGGCAAAATATGGGGAATATGTTTATTTGTGTATATTTATTTGTGTGTCCTGGGGCCCCTTCAAAGAACCCCAAGCTCAGCCACGCGCAGAGGGGGGTGGGGGGAGGGGGGAGGGCTTCTTAGAAGCACCCCTGCTTCTTAGAAGGCGCGGGCCTTCTTTATAGACGTAAGGCCGAGGCCTTCTAAGAAGCAGGGTGCTTCTAAGAAGCCCTCCCCCCTCCCCCTACTCCCTTTTGCGCGCCGCCAACTCCCCCCGCCCGCGGTGCCCCTCTGCACGAGCCGGGCCCTTCTGCACCGAGTGCCCGGGCGCCAAAGCACACGACGCCAGAGAAGAGCCCCAAGCGGTGGATGGCCTTCGCTGGCCCTGAGATCCTGGCGACTCCCTTTTTGTTCGAGCTGGGCGTGTTTGCCTGGTTTCGGGTCCCGGGGCCCTCACAGATCGATCGGGCTCGAAGAATGAGGCAGAAAGACGGGCTCGGGGCTTCAGGCGCGGATTTTCAGGATGTTGCATTTTTTTCGCTACGTCGGGTCTCAGGGGAGGAGATCGACCAAAACGCATCGAAAACATATCAAAAAATACAAGGGAAATCAGCGATTTCTAAATATTTTGGCCCTCTTTGGGGTCCTCTTGTAGCGCTCTTGGGGCTTCTTTGGGGCCTCTTAGGCCGCCTTGGGGCCATCTTGGGCGTCTTGGAGCGCTAAGGGGCCGTGATTCCGACTGGTGTGCCCTTTTGGAGCTGCCTGGTTCCTTGGGCCGCTCCTGGGGCGATCTGGAGGGCCCCGAAAACCGCCCCCGGGAGTTCCGGCATCATTGAGCCGAGCTTGTCGGGAGCCGGCTGGGGTAATTGTCGTCGGGGGATCCCAAGGGTCCGCCTCGCGCGCGCGAGCTATCATATACATATATCCAGTTGCAGGAGATCTTAGCACGCCTCTGGCCCGTTGGGCCGGCGGATTCTGCATTCTGATAGCACGACGGATGGGGCACAGATGGGGCACACGCACCCTCTCGCTGTCGGTAGTGTTGTCACACGTGCAGGCAGGTGTAGAGGTTTTGCACGCATGTGCGCTGCTGTACCACATCTTGAGACACCTCTGAGGTAGCCTTGCATAATAAACTCTGAAAGCACGACGGTTGTACGCACATACGGTGGTTCCACGCGCCGGTTTGTTACACCAGCAGTGTTTGCATCCGGGTGGTTTACAGTGGCTTGAATGAGAAGACCTGTGTGTTGTGTGTCGCACTTTCTCCAGTGGCCGCATGGGTTTGTATGGCTTTTCCACTTCACGCCTGGATTCGCATGGTTCCCAGCGGGTTCTTCTGACATCCTGCGCGTTACTATGGGTGAAGGTGCCGTTTCTTTGCTGGTGGCCGCTTGGATCTCTACGGACTTATGGATTCATATGGCGGCTCCCCACCGAACTGACTCTGTTTGCCGCACTTTCCAGTTGCCGAACTGGTTTTGTTTGCCGCAGTTTCCATTAATCCTTGGATCCCTATGGGTGGCTACTTGATTGTCCTGCAGTGGAGATGTTTGCCGCACTTTCCAGTGGCCGCTTGGAATCAACTTTTCCCAATAAGCTCCTGCGGCCTCATCTCATACCGGCCCTGGGTGCTTTCCACTGGACACTTGATTTTCTTGTAACGATGCATTTAGCTACTCTGCCCACTGGACCTGTGTGCCATTCTTTCCGGTGGCCGTTTGGACACCTTCATGGGTTCCTATGGATTCCTATGCCCCACCCCCCCTCGACGGCCCTGTGTGCATTTTTTTCCAGTGGCATTTCGGACTCCAATAGGTTCCCATGGATTCCTATTGTTTTCTCCCAGTGCCGGCCATGTATGGCACGAATTTTGCACACGTCGGTTGCACCACAGAATGTGTTGCACCGCATTTGTTGCACCCCACAGATCGCATCCCATCGATGGCACTGCAGAGATTTGCACTGCTAGATTCCATTCCTCAGAGGACTGAGACTCTTCCCCTCCAACCGAATTCAGGTCTATCCGCTCCGTTCGATTTGTTCAATTTAGCACGATCCATCGTTTTAAATTCTGTTGACACGGTTTCGCCTCTTATTGTTACCCGTGTCCATTAATACCACGCGGCTCGCACGCGTTAAGTGTTCTCTGCCGGAATCCGAATCAAATAATTCATTGCGGCCACATGTCCGCATCTACGCGCATACTTTGCAGACCCATCAGACGGCAATCGTTTCCCGAACGAATCTTCTCAACTTTACACCAGCAGAGATGCTTTGAACATTAACGCCGCTAGAGAAGGCACATGGCGAGTCAACATCGAGATGCGCGTGCGGGGCACAGCACGCGAGGATGGCACAGCACGCGGCCACGGCACGGGCACGGCACGCAGGCAGCACACTCTTTGCCTTCCGGCACC